TATCAGCATGGAATAGCATCTGCGGGTCCACCACACTCAGACTGTAATGGTTTGGCTCAATGACTGGCTGAAAAACTGCTTCTCAGAGAGTTGGAATTGGAACTTGGTTGTGACACTTACTGGTAACAGCACTCCCCTGTTGGGGTTCTCCGCTGGATTAAGGGTGGAAGTCACATTTCGATGTGTTTCTTCATAGAAATGTGGCTTCCCTCTCTGCTTTCCATTTGCTTGTTTTCACAAAACTTGTGAAAATGCAATATTAGATGGAGATGTAGCCATGTTAGAGATGTAGCTATGCCACGGTGGGGTGGGAGAGGCAGGAGGGAAGGCAGGCAGCTGTATATAGCAATATACCCATGTCAGCCAGGCTTCCCTAGGAAGTCTCGCTGCATTTAGCAGAAAGTCCCAAGCAAGCTCTTCATCGCTCTTGCTGTCAGTCCCCAGAGGGTGCCTACAGCTTGCCTGCTTGGGATGCCCTGGGGATGGCATCCTCTCCCTGCCCGCTGCCAGCCCTTGCAGGGACTCCTCTCTCCACACCCTGCCATGGTCTGCACGCACCCTGTCTCCCATCCATCCCGTCCTCCTCCCTGCCCTGCCTCACTTTCTTCTCTCCTTCCAACAGCCCCTTGTTCTTCCCACCTCTGCCTCCTCCCACCTCTCCTCCCTCCCCTCTTACAAAAGCCTCCTCGGGGAGCAGCGGAGAGGGTTCAGCCTGCAGGGCCTCCTGGCTGCAGGATCACTGGTGGCCTCATGCACGGCGAAGTGCCTTTTTGGCATGCAGAGCCGTGAGCAGCCTCCCGCTCCCTCTTCTCCTCCTCGGGCTCCGTGCCAGTGGGCAAGCGTTTGCGAAGCAAAATTACAGAGCTCTCCGGGTGACGATCTGCCCGTTCCCTACAGCAGGTGGCTGCAGGCTGAATCCACACCATTCCCTCGCAGCCCTGCTCCCAGGCACGTCAGGAGGAGGTGGCTCTTCCTTCCAGCTGCTGCCGGCCAGAGACACCCGCAGTCACCCTCCCAGCGGGAGGACACCGTGGGCGTGATCCTCTGCAGTCCCCAAATCAAATCCAAGCTCCGAGAGAAGGCCAGACCAGCTATTCCAGGAAAACTGTTTGTGAGGTCTGGCATTGGGATGCTGGGAAGACCTCCGGGCACAATGTCAGTTTGGCCCCGAGAGAAGCACAGCTTTCAGAGACAGTACCTGGTGTGTATGGGAGGAAGGGGCGGTGGAGGCCTGGTGGCAGAGCACACGATGCAGCTGTGTTACTTCAACCAGGAGATTCCTTTCTCTCCCACCCACGTGCATTTTGCACCCACATATTACGGCCTGGCTCTCTCCTGCCTTGTGATATTTGAAGTTGCCAGGAGGAAGGGGTTATTCTGGGTGAGGGAAACAGAAGTCATTTCATGCCATGGGCGGGGATGGAGTGTCAGGCCCCAGGCAAAGGGCACAACACCCCTGGGCATGTAAGATCCACTTCCTTTTGGCTGCTGGGGACAAATTCTGGGAATTAGGAAGATGAAACTGTTTACCTTTTACAGTGTTGTAAAGGATGGATGGTGTATACTGTTTGGGGTAAGAACTCAGCCTGGATCTCTGTACCCTCTTTATACTGAGACAATTTATATGGAGACTCTGAGACTCTCTCCTCCCAGAAGGAATCCCGACAGGAACTCCTTATCCACATTTATCTTGCAAAATAAATATTTAATAAACAAAGCCAAATACCGTTAAAGGGCATTCTGAGACATTAACTTATTCCCTTAAGCAATAGAACAAACAAAGCAACTTCATTAGCAGTAGTATATAACGTAGTGCCTGAGTATCTCCCGTTGGACTTGCACATGTAAACCTGAGCATTCGGGAACTGGAGAGGACCATGTTTTGTTTGCAAGGATGGAAGCTCTCCCATGGCACAGAGGTGAAGCTCTCCTCAAGGGTGACATCAGCCTGGCCCCTTCAGAAAACCCGTGTGGCCACAGCAGAGCTGGGAGCCCCAGACCCATAGCCCTACAGCATGTCCGAAGGGCCGTCAGTGCACCTGGAGGAAATACCTGACTGCTGCCGTTGTGGTGTCACTGCCTCGGTGTCTTCGTGTTAATTCGTTCTCTTTTTATTTTCCGCATGAAAATAAAACCCAAAGAGTAACTACTTCACAACAGTGGAGGGAAGAAGATAAGGTGAAATGGGGGATGAAGAAACAGTGGATTGGAGTGAAAGGGGAAGCAAGGGGAAAAAATGACCACGTGGAACAGATGAGTCTAGGGGATGGAAATCTGAGTTATGCTCCCTTCCTAGTTTTCTTTTCAAAGTTTTACTCTTTTTGATGCAGTGTGGGCCCGATAAGTAATAATGTATGACAGAGCTCATATTTATATGATAGGTGCATGAAATATTTTAAAATTTGCTGTAATCTGATAAAATGTTATATGCATAGTAATATTTTGCCTCTTGTGTCTCCTGCCTGGTGATCTTAAAGCACATTGAAAACTTTCCGCACTATGTTTCTCAATGTCTTTGTAGGGCAGGCTTACCTCTGGTTTACAGGTACCAAAATTTAACCTACAAGTTCATGTGGCTGAGCTAGGAAAGCGACCCAGCAGTGCTGGCTAACGTGAGCCTGTCCATCCAGGCAGTCAGTCACTGGTGTGGTTGTACTGGAGGAGCCCACGGCAGGATCCAGGGAAGGGCTGAGGAGGAGGAGGCTTGTGGTGCTCCCTGCTAGCAGACGCTCTCCTGGTCTGAGGCTGGCCCCAGCACAGCCCCAGCTGTGTGAGCAGGCCCTGGAGGGAGCTGTTGGGTGCTGAGGACACGGCCCCTTTGGGCTCTGAAGTCTGCGGCCATGCTCGGAGCAGGTCCCTCATCGCTGGGGTCGCCGAACTGGCGCAGGTCCTGCAGCCCTTCTCAGTCCATTTGCTGCTGTCATCTCTGCGTGGCTCAGCCCAGAAGCGCAGGGTGGCTGTGTGCGCTGCCGTGCTGGCGACACCATGGCAAGGGGGCTTGGCTGGTGCTCGTTTTGCTCTTACCACTGTCATCTGCAGAGGAAATAACGCAGCACCAGCAGAGAGAGATCTGCTTCTTTTGATACGTGATGTGCTTCTGGCAGATGACAACCTGGTATTTGACACCAGAAGAGATGAAGCCAGGGATGGGTAATTTGGCCCTGTCGGACCCCTCCTCTCTCTCTTTCTTTCTTTTTTCAGAGCGGTGGCTTCTCCGCCTCTCCTTGCTGCTGGACAGCCCTGTCACAGCCTGTTAAATCAGCCACGTCTCGCAGCGCTGCCCTGGCCCTCACCGCGCTCCCTCGTGCCAGTGGGGTTTGTGGGCGTGCTGTAAAGGGACGGAGGGTTCAGGAGCTGCATGCCTACCCTAGGGTCCTCCTACCTAGCTGGGCCAACAGTGGTGGCCTGGGGGAGCCCAAAGGGTGGGCTATCTGCAGACACGTTCCCAGGTCACCTCATCTCGGGGGCTGCCCCTTAAGCCCCCCTTGCCTCCTGGCTGCCCTGCTGCCCTCATTGCTGGTCTGCCTGCAGAGAGCAGCACTGTGGGGCTCGCTGTGAGGTGACTCCTGTGGTCCCAGGTCTGGTGGCCTTCCAGCTCCCCAGAGAGCTTCTGCTGCTGTCTGGGTGCTTGGGTTGTTTCTGTGAATACAGAGAAAGGCAGGGTTGGGTTTTGATCTCAGATACTGCTGCACTGAGCCAGAACCATTGATCTTTGGTAAATCGGGGCTGGCTCAGGTCCTTTGGGCCGCCAAAACAATGCAATTTCACCAATTCCAAGTTCTCCTCAACTGAAGATATCCCCACCCCCTGGGAGGATGCGCTGCAGAGCCAGGTCAGTCCGACCTGGAAATGGGTGCCCAGCCCAGATCCCAGATCCTGGCCCTTTCCTCCCACTGCTCTGCCCCACGCTCTCCTGAAAGAGATTCTTCCCAGTGCCCTGCACGTGTGCCAGAGCATACGGAGCAGAAGATGCTGCCAGAGTTCACAGCGAGTGCCACAGGGATCCAGAATAAATACTGCCATGTAATAGATTTTTATCCACTGCCTTGCCGTAATCCCCATCTGAATCCCTTCCAAATTGCAGTCAGGCAGCTGTTTGTACAAGTCAAACATTGATTCAGCTGCTCTCGAAAGGGATTCGGGGAGCGCAGGCTGGAGGGAGCGCTAGCCAGGGAGCTGGAATAATGGGATTTATTTGCTACATGCTGAAGGGTTAAACTGTTTTCACAGCGCCCCGCGCCAGAGTATCTCCGCTTTCCACACAGAAGCAGGAGGTATTCACAGAAGGGATAATTGCTTAAGCAGCCAGCCTGGCACCTCGAGGAGCTCTCGTGTCCCTGCTCGCCGGGACGTGGAGGGCAGGACCACAGCCACACACAGTGGGGCTGTGTCTTACTGGGATCTGCAGGCTGGAGACTCTGTGTGTGTGCTCCTCGTGGGGCAGAGCAAGAGGCGTTTTCTCAGCATCCCCGGTAGGGTACCTGGGGTTTTGTGTTCTGGGTTGTACCTGGAGCTTCAAACAGTCCCTGGGGAGGCCCTTGGCTGGGATTGCTCTTACTGCTGGTGGTGCTGGGTTCTGGGGCATGATCTGGTGCCTGGGACACGGGGCTCGTCCTGGGTGTCTTTAGCACATCTCAGAGCACCTGCGTGAAGGGGAGGAGTCCAGAAAAAGTCCTGGAGTCCTGGGCAGTGGGTACTTGTAACTCTCACCTTATCTGGCTTTCTGGTAGATTTAGATTCGATATTACGAAGTTCTTCCCTCTGAGGGTGGTGAGGCACTGACACAGGCTGCCCAGAGAAGCTGTGGGTGCCCCATCCCTGGAGGTGCTCAAAGCCAGGCTGGATGGGGCTTTGGGCAGCCTGGTCTGGTGGGAGATGTTTTACTTCTACTTCATTTTCTGCCTCCTCAGTGGGATTTGGCATCATGCTTTTCTCTTTGCCCAGCAGTTCCCCATCATTGGCAGGGTCGACACACTGGCTGAAGACTTGAGGAGCCTTGGCCTTTGGGACTGAGGTGGTTTTGGGCAGCTCACAGAGGGGTTCCATGCTTTGGTACAGACCAGCTCCTCACACCAGCCTCTCAGCTGCCACAATGGTGGAGGGTCACAGTGAACACATAGCAGGCAAGACCGGGATGGTTTTGCTTCACCAGCTGCTGCAGTATCCCTTGAGATTCCTCCAGCAGTGGTGACTTCAGCAGGGCTCAGCTCACAGGGTGCTTCTGTACCCATGCCATGAGCACAAGGGGGGGAAATAGCATAGCCAGTTGCAGGTTGAGTAAGCATATTCCCCTTCCCTACACCAGGGTAGGCTGGAAAGAAATACCATAGTGGATTATAGGTCAGTGGGGCAGAGATCAGTTCTTGCCCTGTGCTTTGTACAGCACTGAGCCCAGAATTTACCCATTAGTAAGGAATTTACAAATCCTCTTTCTTTTCTGCTTGCTCCAGATGGCCACGCCTGCCACTTACAAGGGTCCTGCTGGTGCTGGATTAGCTATGCAGCATCTCCAGGAGGTGAGAGCTCACTGGAGGTGTTCTCCACACATTGGTCCATACGGGATTCATGAGCACAAAGAGCTCGGGGACCACACTGCATGGTCCCAGGCACTCAGCCCAGGCACTGCCACCTCGGGTCAACAGCCACTGCTATTGCCCAGGGAAGAGCAGAACAAATAAGGCAGAGAGAAGCAGAAGCAAAGGATGCAAATTCCCTGAATGAAAGGTTGCTGATCACTGTTCTAGATGGGGGTGGGGGGTAGATAACTGGCAATGATGGTCAGCTGCACAGGGGAAAGAAATGTCCCTGGCTGCTGATCGCCAACAGACAAATCAGGTTTAATCTAACCAAAGTGAGATTTGAGCAGAAACCTAATCCACCTGAGCCTACCAGGAGTGTTGAGCTATCAGGGAATTTGCTGAAGAGTTTCAGTGTGGGTTTTTTAGGTTCATTTCCACACCTGCAGCAAACAAACAGGATTATGGCACCAGTAAGAGTGGTTAGGGGCTTGGGCAGCCTTCATAAGGGAGCTAGGAGCTTTTGGCTCCTACTTGGCTTCAGCTTCACAGATCAAGTCAAAATTCATTGAAGGAGAGGAAACAAAATAAATCACTTGATCTGGGGAGAATCTGCTGCAACCAGCCTGGCCGCAGATTCAGGGTCATCTCAGGATGGGAGGGAGAGGAGCGGGGCTGTCCACTCTCCAGGAGCGCGAGAGCAAGAGGCTTAAGGCTCCTCAGCGCTAGAGAAAGGAACTGAGTGCCCCGGAGCTCACAGCCCTGCTTGAAAATGATGGAGGCTGACAGATCTGGGATTAATCTAAAGGTTTCAGCTCTCTGAGCACCGAGTGGAAATTCGCCTGGAAACCACAGCGCAGGAGCTCGGCGTGACGAAAGCACTAACTGGAGCGGGGGGAGGCGGAGGCGTGCGTGGGTCAGATAGCTTGCCCCGCCTGATTATGCACAAAGCTGGAGCCCTCGTCTCCTGCTTTCCCAGCAATGTGTCTGGGTGAGGAGGGAAGGCATTCAGTGCTAATAAGAGCATCAGAAAATAGGCCACTTTTTTTTGGACACTAGGCCTAAATGCAGACTCTGTTCCGGGTGCAGCTTTGCGTTGCTAATTGGATGTAGAGGCAAAGCTGTCCCCGCAACGAGCAGCTCTCCTGCTTGCACCTGGGCACGCTCCTGGAGCAGCAGGGTGTTTGGGTGGGTCAGGAGGCCTGCACAAATACTACAAGCTGTGGTTTTGCCCATGCTGGTATCTGTAGGTACTGGACTGCTTGTGTGGGATGGGAAGGAAGAGTGGGAGCTGCCTGAGAGCCGGAGCCAGGGCGTGCAGACCTGGCCTTCTGTTCAGCTGCTCCAGCTGCATAAGGTAAAGCCTGCTTCCCCTGGTGTCTACAGCTTTCCTGGAGGCTAAGTTGCTGATTTAGCTCAGTCTTGAATGTGGAAGACCAGGGCACTCTTTTTGGCCGATTCAGGATCCACTAAAACTGCTGCTAAAGGGTTGTGGGCAGACACCAACCTTCATACTTCATCTGGGCACAGCCTGCGAGGACAGATGTTATATGTGGGCACACTTACGCTCCCCTGCCCTCAGACACCAACAGCCTACAGCTGGGGTGTCTGAAAGTCTTTTCTCAGCACAAGAAACCCACGAATTCCCATACATCCTGCACTACACAAGTCCCCGAGCATTAGCACAGCTGTCACAATCCTCAGCCACATCTGCACGTTCATGCCTTCATATCTGATTTCGATACAACGGTGCCATCACCCCTGCTGCTCACCTCGAAGGACTGAACGCATCACAGCGCACACTTAACTCCTCTAGTTTGCTCTATAAATGCACGACTCACGGTGAGCAGGCGTGTAATATATACCTGTGTACGCTTCTGCTAAGTGCTGCGCATGGATTTGCTGATCTGGTTGTTTTGTAGTCATTGGGCTACATCTTCAGTGGTAGGAATAAACTGCTGCAGCAAAATGGGGCTGCCAGTTTATTCTCCGTTGGGATCTAGCCCATAGTGTTAATCTATCGTAGAGGCTTGCTTTTTTCTGGAAAGCGTAGGCATTTTGAGTGTGCAATCAAATTGGCATTTTATCTGGGTTTCTGCATGGTATAATTGCAATTTCCAGATGATAATTGTTATAAAATTATTAAATAATGTAGCAGTGGAAGGTTAGCATAAGGTCGTGGTGTGATTTTTACTTCTTTGATGTGATAGTCAAACTGAAATCAGCGTGGCAACATGTCCCAGTGCACAAACTGGGCACGTAGCAGGGATGATCACAGGCATGGTTGCAGACAAACCAGCCGAATCTGAACACGTGTCCTCTTCTAAGAAAGGAGTTTAGGAGAAATAATTTTCGGCTTCCTGATCCACACACCCAGTCATTATCACAGACATTATGATGGTCTCTCCCTGCTCGTGTTTTAGAAAAGCTCAAAGGCTGAATTGCAAGACAGTCGTTGCTAATTCAGAGTAAGTGGGCGACGCTGCAGCTGCTGTCTGTTTGCCCATCTAATATATGAATAGCAATCGATTTGGACCTTTTCTCTAAATGTGATGTGATACTGAGTATGAGATCATTGCCAAATCTCCACGAGGAATTAAGCTTGGTTTAGCAGGAAGGCCAAGGCAGCTTTGTGGGCTCTTTATGGGTGAAGCCCAGAGTCCCCCCCAGCCTGGAGAATTGTCTCCCCATGGATATCTTCCTCTGTATTTAGCTTCATAAACTAAAGCACCTTGTAGCAAACAAGGGAAATTAGTGCTCCAGTTCTGATTCCTGTACTACATGGATTTCCAATAAATACACGCTAATATTCATCCTAGGTTTATTTTATGGCCTTCTTTTTGTTCTTTTCCATTTTGTTCTTTCCCATAGTTTCACCCTCATAATTATCTCTTCTCCAGATGTATTGTCTGCCGATATTTGAAGCTGGTTGCCTCTTTATTCTGCTATTGTATTGTTATTTTCTATGACGTATGGTTAGTTACTGGTAATCTTATTAGTTGCTATCACAAATATCTAGTAGCATAGGTACACTGACTGTGTTTTACAGCTATTTTAGGATTGCTTTATTTTAATTTATAAATCAGCTCCTTCAGTCCTGTTGTCATTGATTGCTCTTTTCTGAAGTCTCTCCTAAACTGTTAATCTCGTTCTGGACTGAGGTGTGGGGAGAAGCCCTTTGCATGATCAAATCGCCAGCAAGTCTGCTCCTTTGAGATCTGAGGGGGGAAAGCACTGCGTAAGTGGCACATGCAGTTGGGAATATCAGAGGAGTACCTCTGCGACGCAGCACTGCGCTTTGTGTTTATTCTCCCTCGGTGATGTCCGCATTAAAGCACTTCGATTGCAAGTGATGACAAAGTTGTTCTCTGCTGCAAGCTGAGCCTGAAGGCAGGAGGCCAGCATGTGATGGAGAGCTCTGAGCTTCTCAGAACGATACGTTGCCTTCGCTCCCTCAGCACGCACTTTTGAGGAGGGAATTCTTTGGCTTGATGTTTGAGTATCAGAGACAGAGTCAGTGATGCTGGGAAGAATTCAGGTGTAGGAGGGGGGTAAATGGGCTTGGATGAATCAATAACCAAGTTAAATCTTTGATCAAAACATGAAGTGACATGCCTGCCTCCTCCCTCCCTGCCGCTGTCTGTGCCAGGCTTGGATGAAGCTTGGGGAACTGGGGAGTTAATAACAAATCTTTGTTCTGTAGCAACTGACTTTGCATCTCTACACCATCTCAACATAAGGACATATATTGTGCCTGTCCCTAGGATGATGTAACATGACAAGTGAAGAGACAAGAGATGTCCAAACCTCATGTAAGAGCCCCTGTACAATTTACATTTTTCTTTTCCAGTGTGTGTGGAGCGAGCTGTTCTGCGCACAGGCATCCCAGCAAGAGAACAGCAGAGATGGGGTTTGTCTGGGTCCCGTTTTCTTCTGTGCTTGCTGTGTCTTAGGGTGGAAAAAGGCTGGGCTGCCAAGATCTGAGTCTTGGTGCTTTCCTTCAGCCCGGTGCTTCTGTCTCAATCCTGACCTTTCTTGCTGAGCCTCTTCTGTGTGTCCTGCTGTCAGTGCTTAGAGCCCAACACTGCTTCCTATCGTGTCCCTGTCAGGGTGGCAAAGGCAGCAAACATTGGCTCTTGCAATATGGGAAGCTCTGAAAAATGGGCTTTTCTGAGCAATTCACCCTTCCTGCAGGATGCAGACTCAGCAAGGCCTGCAAGAGAAGGAGAACTCTTGGGGCTGGGCAGCCACTGGCCGTGGTTCTTGGCACCACGAGAAAAGCAGTAATGTGCTTTAGAAGCAAATCGGGCCATCACCTCAGGCCCTTGGCTGGCTGGCTGCTTGCTGGCATGAGGTCACTGCTGAATTTTGGTTTTCCACATGGATTTCAGAGCTGCTATGATGCCCTAGCCTCCGAGTTTTGGCATTGTGCTATTAATGCAATTTTTTTCCTTCATCAAGGTGGCAGGAATTTGCTTGTGACATTGCAATGGAATGAAAACATAAGAAAATGGGTGTAGTTTAGCCCAGTGTACCTGACTTTTGAAAGTAGGCTTTGATTCCTGCAAGGTCCTGGTTCCAGTGGGTGCTCGCCTGGACTTACATGCATCCCTGAGGCAGTCTGATTACCTGAGGCACTGAGAATAGCAGCACTTTACACAGATCTGGGCAAGGGACTTCCAGCTGTGGGAACACCTTGGTGTTTGTGGTCAAAAGCTGATGCCTATTAGTGCCAGTAAAAACAGGCCTGGTTTGGATCCTAAATCTGACCCTCTGCTCTGCAGAAGTTTGAATCTAGCTTTATTTTTGGCCCCAGGAGACCTAACCTGCAGGATGCCTTTGAGCCCACACTATAGCCCCAATCACTCCTTGCCGCAGGAGTACCCTGAGTGAAGAAGTTGTTTTCATGGTCCTGCTGGTAACTCAGTGCCCTGTTCTGCCAACACCATTGCTCCTGTCTGGGCATCGCTGGTGCGAGCCTGTGCTGGAGGGTTTTGTTGACTGAATGGAGGTGAGATAAAATACTCTGACCCTGGCTGTGTCAGTGCACGAGAGCACCCAGCTGTCAGTGGGTGTTTAGACAATAAATCATCTGCATTTACTCCCTGGGTGAGTCTGTAAAGCTAGATGTGCAAACAGCAAGCTGTGTCAGTGATGGAGAGTCACCAACAAATGCGGACACAGTGGGGGTGCCATGCCAAAGTTTTTACTTGAGTTCTAGTAATACCCAAGCCAATGTGTGGAAAAGTGCTAACTGGGAGGAGAATCTGTCAGAGTTGTGTTTGGCACAGCTGGTGTCTGATGTAGGGAATGTGCTCGTGTTTGGCTGTGCTACGTTTCTCCAGAGCTTGACATGTT